CCCTTCTTGGCTCCATTCCAAAGGCTGAAATATTTGGGGTATCTAAGGAGTCTCCGATTTCTCTTTGGTAGGACTCTAGTTAAAGTCTCTCTTGATTGGGGTTCAAGTCTCTCTTGATTGGGGTTCAAGTCTCTCTTGATTGGGGTTCAAGTCTCTCTTGATTGGGGCATCTGTTGAACAGAAGCTGAAGGTTCAAACTCTGGCCTCAGTTATTTATTGAAGGACTCTTTGGTTCCTTAACTGTAATTACCTGGCTGGCTGAGGAAGATGGGATCTGTAGTTAATGCTACCCTAACATTGACTCCAGAAAGTAGACCCTACTGGAAGCCAGTGCCTTGAATTGTAGCACATCCCTGTGAATATACTGACTGGGGTTAGGTAGCTGGCTAAATCATGTTTCTTTTAACCATGGTTTCTTTACCAACCCCAATTTTCTCACAGCACCAAAGGGAATTAAAGCTTAGCGGGATGGGTGAACCAAGTCAGTGAATCCTCCGCCTCTTAGCGCCAAGTTCAGGATGCAACCGGCTCTAAAACCAGAAACAAACGCTATAAAATATGGGCAATCATGGTTTGAGAACAAAGTTTATTGCAAGTCTCCCCTACTGAGAAGCAATTTCAGAGATACATTCATTTCTGGACTGGGACGGTGGATCCAGCCCGGAGGCTGTTTTGTGATGGGGAAGGATCCATTTCTTGGCATCCTTCCAAAGGTTGAAATGTTCGTGGGTGTCCTAGGAATCTCCGAGTTCTTTCTGGAGACATTGAAGCGTCAACCCCAAGCAGGTCCCACTGAGAAGGGTGAGAGGGGTCCCACTCTGCCCGTTGTTTGTCCACTCTCTCAGTGACTGACAGGTTTAGGTTTCCTGACTCTTCGATTTTGGAACCAGGCGTGGAAAAAGAAAAGTTGGGAGAAAGACAGCTCTTATCCTTCTCCTTTGCTCCCTTTTCCTTCCTGTCCCCCACCACCCCTTGCCCCAGTTGGTGGGATGAGAGGTGGGATCCATTCTTACGTGGATTCGGGTCTTGGGGATGCCAATATGGCCGCCAGGCTCTCGTGGTCCTTGTACCAGTGAGGCTGGCCATTTGATCCTTGGTGTAACTGGTGGGCTTCCTCTACTCACCTCTTTCTCCTAAGGGGAGAAACAAGAGTGTAACTAGGCCTTCAACCTGGCCTCGGAAGGAGAAGGGCAGGATCCACGCCTCTAGGCCACGTTCCCACAGCATCATCTGCTGGTTTTGGAATCGGCCTGTTTTCTGAACCTACCCCCCAGGGTGGACTTCTCATAACCTGCAGAAAAATACCACTATGCTTTGTAATGCATGCCAGTTGCAGGTTTTTATTTTTTAAAAAATATATTTTCTTGATTTTTTTTTTACATAAACACCTTGATGTTTGGTAAACAGCGTGTTGTCTGGGCTTCTATTTACAAAGTAATCACTAACCATCAGTTTCTGGGCTTGGTTCTACCCAGATCTCCTCGCCTTCTCGTCCCCAGCCACCCCTTGGTGGGATGCGCAGGGCGACCCAATCCGTCCTTACGTGGATTTGGTCCATTTGGATACCCAAGTGCACCTGGGCCTCGTAGCCAGGTTAGGGAGGTGCCTGGAAAGCCTCAGTCACTTGCTCCTTGGTGTAAATGGTGCATTTTCTCCACTTAGCCCCTGGTAGCTCCAACTCTGGACCATTTTCCTGAAGGGAGTGAAAAAAAAAGAGGGCAATGTGAAGCGCAATTTGGCTCTGGAAGGAGACGGGCAGGATTCACGCCTCTCAGCCTCCTTCACACACACACACACACACACACAGAGAGAGAGAGAGAGAGAGAGAGAGAGAGAGAGAGAGAGAGAGAGAGAGAGTCTTGGGGATGCCAATATGGCTGCCATTTTCCTGAAGGGAGTGAAAAAAAAAAGAGGGCAATGTGAAGCGCAATTTGGCTCTGGAAGGAGAGAGAGAGAGAGAGAGAGAGAGAGAGAGAGAGAGAGAGAGAAAGAGAGAGAGGGGGCACCATTTACTCGGTTTGGGAACCAGCCCCTTTCCTGAACCCCCATAAGACTGACTTCTCATAACCTGTATGAGACACCCTACATCTGCTTTGCCCCGTTTAGGACAACAGTAAGACAAATTGGGGAGAAATTGGGTGGCCTCAAAGGTGATTTCTTACCTGAGTTGCTGGGATTCATTTTGGGTCACAAAGCAAAATCTCCTTGAAGGAGCAACAGCCATGCATTTGATCCCCAAAAGGTCAAATGCGGGCCCCTAATATTTTGGCTTGGGGCTTTTATACTCTGTGTCCCCTGGGTTCAATCTTTGGCCCTCCCCACCCCCTGGGTTTCTTTATCTGCCAATCAGGACAGAGGGGGTGGGGTCAGGATACTTTCCTTTTAAAATGACCCTTGCTATTGCCCCCACCCCCTATGCAGTTAATGGGAGCTAATTTGTTGGGACTGCAATGGGTGGGATTGTAACACAAATCCTGCCTCCATTTTCATGCTTCCCCCCACCCAGTTGCTGGCATTCATTTTGGGTCAGGAAGCAAATGGCTTTTAGGAGAAACCCCACAGTGTTTCCTGGATGGATAGGATGGCTAAGAGGTCGAAAGTGGCTAGCAATATTTTGGGATGGCTCTTTTATACTGTTCGTCCCCCAGTTCAGTCTCTGATCCAGCCCTCCTGGGGCTTTCAACAATTTTAAGCACTAAAAAATCTCCCCATTTAAGGTTCTGAGTTTCTCAGGATGGGAGGCACCCCCATGGCCAGAGGCTTAGGCTTTAAGGCTGACCTCAGTTATTTCCTGGAGGCCCCTTTTGGTCTTCAGCCCGCTGGAGGGGATGGGAGATGGGACTTGTAGTGCGCACTGGCCTTTCCTGAGCTCCAGAAAGCAAGAAGTGTAAACAGCATGCTGATTGTTAGCTTGCTAAACCAGGTTTCTTTTGACCATGGCTTCTTTTGCCAGCCCCAATTTTCTCCTGGCACCAAAGGGAAACTGACCAACATTACTCTGCCTTGGCTTCTCAAGGGTGGGAGAAGTTGAGGCATGAAGCCTTCAGAGATGGCCAGCTGGGTTTCTGAGTTCAACAATTTTAAGGACTGAAAATTTTCCCATTTATATTTTTGGCTGAATGTGTCTATTGATGGGGGAGGCACTCCTAGGGCAGAAGTTTACGATTTAAGACCGACCTCGGTTATTTATTGAAGGGGCACCAGTCTTGCCCCTTGCCTGGGCTGTTGGCGAGATGCGCAGTGTGCAGTGCAAATGTGGATTTGGGCCTCTGGGATGCCTAACTGGCATGCCAAACGCCTGGTAGCTGGGGTAAGGATGTGCTTGGAAAGCCACTTTGCTCTTTGGTGTAAATGGTGTGCTTTCCTCTGCTCCCACTTTGGGCCATTTTCCTGAAGGGAAGGAAAAAACACAAGAGTGCAAGAGAAGCACAAATTGGAATTGGAAAGAGACGGGCAGGATTCACGTATTTAGACTGCATTCACACAAGTTCCTCATTTTTGGAAACACCATGAATTGCATCTCCAAGAGGTCAAATGCGGCCCCTAATATTTTGGGAGGGGGCTTTTATATTCTTTGTCCCTGGGTTCAATCTTTGACACTCCCAATGACTCCCTGGGTTTATCTGCCAATCGGGACAGAGGGGGAGGTTAGGATACTTTCCAATTAAAATAACCTTTGCTATTGTTCCCCTGTACTTATTTACACAATGGAGAGGAGGAGGAGGAGCAGGAGGAGGGGGGGAAAGAGAGAGAAAGAAAGAGAGAGAAAGAGAGAAAGAGAGAGAGAAAGAGAGAGAGAGAAAGAGAGAAAGAGAGAGAGAAAGAGAGAGAGAGAAAGAGAGAAAGAGAGAGAGAGAGAGAGAGAGAGAAAGAGAGAGAGAGAGAGAAGAGAAGAGAGAGAGAGAGAAAGAGAGAGAGAGAGAGAGAGAGAGAGAGAGAGAGAGAGAGAGAATGATCCCCCAAAGTGGTTTGGGACCTTCAGAGCACCCATTGGACCTTCAATTATCTCAACTTGCTTGGAAAGGTCCATCTGGCTTCTCCTGGATGGGAGAAGTTGGGGCATGAAGCCTTCAGAGAAGAAATTTCGAGTTCAGCCATTTTAAGAATGGAAATTCTCCCCACTTAGGCTTCTGGATTTGAGTGTCTCTTCATGAGAGGCTAGATGTTGAAGATTCAAAGACATTTTTTTGAAGGTCCCATTGATTCCTACAAATGTAGCTGTAATGGCCCTGCTGGCTGGGGAAGATGGGATTTGCAGTTAAGGCTGCCCTATTATCAGTTCCAGGAAATAGGTAAGCCTTGAATTTTGCAGTACATTCCTTGAATATGCTCACGTGGGGTTAGGTAGCTCGCTAAACCATGTTTATTTGAAGTATGGTTTCCTTTAACAGCCCCCATTTTCTCATCACATCAAAGGAAAGCTGCCCAACATTAAGTTTTAGCAGAATGGTGGAACCAAATCAGTGAATCCTTTGTCTGTTAAGGCCAATTTAGGAGGCATCCAGCCTTAAAAGCAGAACGTAAGGAACCCCATTTGGAGAATTAAATAAAGCACAAAACTGTCTCTCTACCCCCCCCCCCATATCCTATCTCCCATGAGAGGCTCAGAAACATCCAGAAACATCTTTTTTTTAATTTAAAAAATATTTTTATTGAATAACAAAAATTAAAAACATTGAACATGGTAAATCAGATTTGACATACATCACAGTTCATATTCACAATGAACTACTAATATAAGAAAAAAAACCCTTTACAATAACAACACTCTAATCTCAGTCTTAACTTACCTCATTACAATGACTTCCATATTTTTTTTCCCCCACCATCTACAAAATTTATCCCAAATTTGGTAAAAATCCGTTTCATGCTGATTTTTGAGTCTCTTAGTTAACCTATCTAATTCTGCGCAATGCATAATTTTATGCATAATTAAGATTTCCTCACTAGGTATAGCCATAGCTTTCCAATTTTGAGTGAATACAATTTTTGCCGCTGTAACCACATGAGTGAATAAATATATATCTTCTTTACTAACATTATTTTCAAGAATTCCGAACAACAATGTCTCAGGCTTATACTGGATGTTTTGCATACTCATTTCTGTTACCCATTATCCAGAAACATCTTGAAAACCTTCCTGAAGAGCAATATCAGGGTTAGTCAAATATCAGCAAATGGGGGAATTGTCTCTTTGACCAAGCTGTCCCCAATTTCTCTCTCTCTTAAGCCTGATTTTTACGACACTCCCTGCAAAATAACCCACTTAGTTTTCTGGCTCTGGTTGGTGATGCTGGCTAAGAATTTATTTTTTATTTTTTGGCTTTGCAAAAAGCAAAGGGAAGGAAAAAATAGAACTGTGGAAGTTTTCCTCCCGTTTTCACGGTATTTGTTCTTTTCCCCCTTAGTTGGTCTGGCTTTGCAAGAGAAGAAAGTCTGTAAACGCAGGGTGACCTTCTCTCTTAATCCACCCACCGCACATGGCATTTGCTTGTGAGTAAACATGACTTAACACCCCATAATCCTCTTCCCTGACAAGTTTTCTTTTTTCTTTTTTTTTTTAAAGTGAAATCAGTTTTCAACTTGGCCTCGTTCTAGGAATAAGAAAACACGGGCAACCACAGCTGGAGAACAAAGTTTTATTGCAAATTGTCCCTTATTTGAGAAGCAGCTTCAGATACACATTCCTTTAAGTTCTTTTTAAAACAGGTATCCCCTTAACCCGAAGTGCTCTGATGAATAAATAAGCAGTAAAATGGGAAAGGAGAAATTCAGAGACCGACACCCCCCCCCCGCGGGACCGGTTACCTCCAGTTTTCCCAGTTTGCCTCTTCATTCCCATAAAAGCCAGGCTGGGGTACCTGCTCATTGGTAGCTGGTGCCGGAATCAGACCCAAAGGTTCCTGCGGGTCCAAGGCTCCGTGGAGACTCAAGGCTGACTCCGGAGATGAGCAGGATGGGGTGGGATAGAAATGACCCCCCAGCTGTGGAGCCTGCTGTTGGTGGTAGGGCTGATAGGAATAAGTGTCATGGGGCGTTTGTAGAAAGTGATGCTGTGGGGTAGGTGGGGGGATGGTGGGGAAGTGTCCAGATCCAGAGGGAGCACCGGAGTCCCAGTTGGCAGAGCTGGGCAGGACTGGGAGAAGAGTGGATTCAACAGAGTCCTGCAATGTGGAAGCAGCTAGCTCTTGGCTCCCTCCCAGCTGTGGAAAGGTTTGGGGGTGGCCTGGGAGGGTCCAGTTTCTCTCCAGTGGCCTCAAGTCACCCCAAACGGGTCCAGAGGAGAGATTTGAATAGTCCAGATTGCCAGTTGCTGGTCTTGGCACGGAAGAGTCCTCCGGCCTTTCGTTTTCCCGGGGGTTGAATGTTTTCGGTTGCCTGGCTCTCCGATTCTGGAACCAGACCTGGAAAAAAAGAGAGAGAGAGAGAGAGAGAGAGAGAGAAGGGGGGGAGGGAGAGAGGGAGAGAGAGAGAGAGAGAGAGAGAGGATTGAATGACAATTTACAGCCTGTCAACCCCGAGCGGGAAACCTGCGGGCCGGCCGAGAGCGCAAATTGCGCACGGGAGCTTGGCACCACAGCCGCGCGCGGAGTTGAAGCCACGGCGCAGGCAAAGGTGGCTCGCTGGTGGAAACGCGCCTGCAACGGAGGGAAGGGGGTCTTGGTTGTTTGAACACCCTCCCTTCTCCGGCCACCCCTTGCCCCGGTCCACGGGACCCCTTCTTACGTGGATCCGCGCCTCCGGGATGCCGATCTGGCGTGCCAAGCGCTCGCGGGCCTCGTAGCCGGGATACGGATGCGCTTCGAAAGCCTCGGTCAGACGGGCCACTTGCTCCTTCGTGTAAATGGTCCGCTTCCTCCGCTCGCCCCTCGCGACTCCCGCCTTGGACCATTTTCCTAAAAAGAGAGGGGGGAAAAAACAAAAAAAAAACAAATATGAACACAAGGTGAAGCTCCATTTGGCTCTGGAAAGAGGCGGGCAGGCTTCGCGCCTCTGTTCCGCGTTCACACGCCCAGGGGGGGGTTGCTGGGTGAACGCGGTCTAGATTCTAGAATGATGCTCGGTTTGAGAATTTTGTTGAAGCCCCCCCCCCCCCAGTAGGGCTGACTTTTTAAAACCTGCAAAAAAAAAAAAAAGAGAAGAAGCCAAAAACCCACCACTACCAGCTAACACGCTTCCCAATCCGTGCCAATTGGAGGCTTTAACCGAGCCGGTTAGTCGTGCTGTATTGACTTATGGGGGGGGGGGGAAGAGAGACAAGCAGGCCTGATCCGGAGGGTCAACAGCTGCATTCACACGACGCCGCTTTTCCACGAAAAACCTCCCCAACGGAGTCGCCTTGATTTGCGCCTTGGAGGCCGTGCAATTCGTTTTGGACTCGGAGGTCCCGTCTGAATTGGCTTAGCAGCCTTCTCGGGGGGGGGCGAGGCGAAGCGAGTCGCCCCCAGACCCAGAGGATCCCCTTTCTCATGTTTTCTCCCCCCCCCCACTTCAACCGCCCTCCAAACGCGACGCGGGACGAATTCGGTGCTTTTCTCCATCTACCCGAGGGGGAAAAAAATCTCTCGAAGCCGCTCAAAGAACCGGCAAGGTTCGCGCATCTAGACCGCGTTCAGACGCCCAGGTGGTGCTGTGTGAACGCGGTCTAGATAGAAGATGCTCGGTTTTGGAATCGGCCCGTTTTGGGACGTCTCGCAACCTTATCACCGGCAACCCGCTTTCCAATCCCTGCCAGTTGGAGATTTTTAAACCGTCCCGCTGAGCCTTTTCTGCCCTAACAAAGTAGGCTTGGATTAAACCTAGGTTTCTTCGCCTCCCCAGCGGTCTGCAAGGAGGATAAATCCTTCCATTCCACACCATCCAGTCAGAGCTGAAGAAGCTTCTGGGATGTGAAGCGAAAAGTCTTCAAAGAAAAAAAAAAGGAAGAAAGTCCAGCTGCCTCCTGTAAAAAGGATTTTTGGTAGAGAAAAGAAAAAAAGGGGAGAAATAGAACAGCCCAAAGGTGATTTTTTTTTTTTTTTACCTGAGTTGCTGGGATTCATTTTCTAATGAGTAGAAAGAAAAGTCACCGGTTTGATCTCTCAGAGGTCAGATAAGGCTGCTAATATTTGGGGGGGGGGGTGAGGCTTTTATACTCTTTGTCCCCTGGGTTCAATCTTTGACCCTTGCCACTCCTGGGATTCTTTATCCACCAATCAAGGGGGTGGGCGGAGGTCAGGATACTTCCCTTTTAAAATGGCCCTTGCTATTGGCCCCTGTACTTATTTACACAATGGAAAGGAGGAGGAGGAGGAGGAGAAGGAGGAGAAGGAATGGATCCCAAAGTGGTTTGGGACCTTCAGAGCATCCATTGGACCTTCAATTATCTCTGCTCTTAATTTGCTTGGAAAGGTCCACTCTTGGATGGGAGTCGTTGGGACCTGAAGCCTTCCGAGATGGAATTGTGAGTTTAGCAATTTTAAGAATGGAAGGTTTCCCCCGTTTAGGCTTCTGGATTTGAGTTTCTCTTCCTGGGAGGCTAGATGTTGAAGATTCAAAGACATTTTTGGAAGATCCCATTGGTTCCTTAGTTGTAGTGGCTGTGCTGGCTGGGGAAGATGGGATCTGCAGTTAAGGCTGCCCTATCACCAGCTCCAGGAAATAGCTAAGCCAGTGCCTTGAATTTTGCAGTACATTCCTTGAATATGCTCACTTGGGGTTAGGCAGCTCGCTAAACCATGTTTGTTTGAAGTATGGTTTCCTTTAACAGCCCCCGTTTTCTCAACCCATCAAAAGAAAACTGCCCAGCATTAAGTTTTAGCAGAATGGTGGAACCAAATCAGGGAATCCTTTGTCTCTGTCAAGTCCAATTTAGGAGGCATCCAGCCTTAAAAGCAGAACGTAAGGAACCCCATTTGGACAATTAAACGAGGCACAAAAGATGACCCCCCCAAAAATATATATATCTTACCTCCCATGATGGGCTCAGAAACATCCAGGTCTTGAAAACCTTCCTGAAGACCAAAGATAGTCCAACATCTAATTCAACCTAGAGAGATTCAACCTAGACATAAGGAGAAATCAACCAGTGGAACAGCTGGCCTCCAGAAGCTGTGGGTGCTTCATCCCTGGAGGCATTCAAGAAAAGACTGGACAGCCACTTGTCAGAAATGGTATAAGGGTCCCCTGCTTCAGCAGGGGGTTGGACTAGATGACCTCCAAGGTCCCTTTCAACTCTCCTGGTCTGTTATCTCTGAAAGTAGGCATTGCCTCTTCTGCCCAAGACCCTGACCCCAATTTCTCTCTGCCTTAAGCCTGGCTTTATGACACCCCCTTCAAAAAAAAAAGAAAAGAAAAGTATTATTACCAAAATTTTAGAGTGTGCAGAAATGGATAGACTAACATTAGAAACGAAAGCAAAAGATGACTCAATTTATTTTAGAACTTGGGGAAAAATTTTTATCAATGGTTAGAGACACGTTAGAACTTGAAGGATTCAATATTTTAGAATAGATGACTGATTTTTTAATGGAGTTCTAACTAACATTTCGATGATACGATTACTTTTCCTGATTTACTAATTTTCATTTATTACTTTTGATTGTTAGGAATTTTTTTTGAGATTTTATTAGTAGTGTTTACTTAATAGATCAATGTATTTGTTTACTAATTGTTTTTTATATGTTACAGTTTAAGCTTTGTTAAAAATGGTTGAATATGATACTTACTCATTATTATGATCCGGACGGTTGCTTGTTTGTTGAAATATGTGATTGTACCTATCCTTATTTTACCCTAATTCTTTATTTCTTTCCCCTCCCCCTTTCCTTTTACCCCTCCCTTTACCATACCTGTATTGTTCCTATTTTTCCTCACCTATAGAAATTTAATAAAATTTTGTTAAAAAAAAAAGAAAAGAAACAAAATCCAGCTTAGTTTTGTGATTCTCATCGGCATTTCCTTCTTTCAGAATTTTTTATTTATTTGTTTTTGCTCTGTGCTATATAAAATGGACGTGGGCCTCTTTGCCGCCTGTTTTTCAGAGAGCTGGGATGCTGTGGCCTTGAAATTGGTAAACTCTTAAAGAGGCCCAGGATTGCAATCAATCTGAAATACATGCCATTAGTTTGTGAGTAAACATGACTAACACCGCATAACTGCCTTTCCTGGCAAGATCTTTTTTTTTGTTTTGTTTTTTTTAAAGTGAAATCATAGTTTATCTAAGCACGACCTTGCCTTCTCAGAGGAAAGTTCACTTGCTAAAGCTCAGCTTTTGCAAATAAACTGAAGAGAGGGTAGTTTAAGCCTTTAATTGGATACTCTCCATTCACACCAAAGCTTCTGGCACAGCATTTTGAGCGTCCTTTCTTCATGGGACACAAAGCTTGCAAGTTGAGTAGTCTGTCAAAGATTTGGCCCAAACTAACACAACAATGCACAGATTAACTATATGCATATTATCAACAACATGCAGATGAAGCCCGTGCCAGGTTTAAACTTCGATGTCCTATTTTCCAAGGAGATTTCATTTCAGGGCTGATACTTGCAAAGTGCTGGGAAAATAAAAATAAATTTACTCCTCCGGATTCTGCTCGATTCCCTATTTAGCTTAGGAAATAGGAAGGTGCAGGAAATCCCAACTCCCATTCTGTAGAGGCGGCCCCAAAAATCTGTCCAAAACTAAATGTGCAAATGGTTACACACGCCTGCACAAACACGAAAGATGCACAAAGCTCACTGGAGGGGACCAGGGCAGTTTTAATTGTTCATGTAGTAACTGTTCAAAGTTACAAATTGGAACAAGTTAAATTGGAACTCAGACTAGCAGGCGATATTTGAGGAATTCCAAAGGGATAAAATATTGAATAATCCTTTTACCTCCTCATTTACTGAACTGTTAACATAAAAGTCACCAATCTCTTCCATACTCTCTTACGCATATCTCAAACTATCTTGTGTCCCATGCCTAGTTATCTCATATCCTAAGAATGAGCTGGCCTCACAGCTGTAATATTTGCTTTTTTATCAGATCCATTTCCTGGAGAAACATGAATGTAGAACCAATTTAAATTCTGAAGCCAAAAATCTGCCCTGAGCATCTTTCCTCCTTTCCAGGAGATCATTTCTGAATCCCCCAGAATGCTGTGCTCATAATTTTACGGATTTATATTATTTGTTGCTCCCTTCCGTGGGGAAACTGCTTTTTTTTTTTTCCATCTTGTCAGTGCAATTTGGTTTCCTGGTGCACTGAAGAAGGGACAAACGCCCATAATGGAAAAATAAAGTCTTGCATTGCCATCGCCCTGACATTTCAGCGGAGATGCAAGCCTCTTTTGAGTTATAAATCTTTAGTAAGGCCACACCTGGAATATCGCATCCAGTTTTGGTCACCACATTATAAAAAAAAGATATTAAGACTTTGGAAAGAGTGCAGAGAAGAGCAGCTAAGATGATCAAGGGCCTGGAGACAGAAAAATCTGAAGAACGGTTGCAGGACTTAGTTATGGCTAGTTGAATGAAGAGAAGGACTACTAGGGGGTGACATGTTAGCAGTTGTCCACTATTTTAGGAGTTGCTACAAAGAAGACGGAATCAAGCTATTCTCCAAAATACCAGAACGCAAGAAAAGAAACAATGATTAGATGGAAACTAATAAGGAGAGAAACAACCTGGAATTAAGGAGAAACTTCCTGATAATGAGGACAATTAACCAGTGGAACAGAAGTTGCCTTCAGAAATTGTGGGCACTCCATCACTGGAGGTTTTTAAGAAGAGACTGGACAGCCACTTGTCTGATATGGTCTAAAGTCTCCTGCATGAGCAGGGGGTTGGACTAGAAGACCTCCAAGGTCCCTTCCAGCTCTATTCTGCATCAAATACTGTTGGGGACACCTTGAGAGTCTCTGTCCAAATTGGATGCAGTGTGATTCAGCCACATCACCTGGCATCAAATCTGAACTTCTCAGCCTTCTTCTATTCCCAATCGGCAGGCACAAAATAATACTTCTGAAGACATTTTCATTTGGGGAGCTAATCTTACACCAATGTGTTAACAAGCTGGCTGGATTCTTTCAGAAACGAAAAGATTGTCAACATTCAGGGATGCTTGTCAGACAGAAAGGAAGATGAGCCAGGATTCCAGGATTTTCTTCCAAATGCAGGGAGAAAGATTGTTATTAAAATAATACAATGGTCTCCTGGACATTGTTACCTTCAAGGCTTATTCTGTGGTTTTGGGCAAGGTGATTTTGAATGGATGCTTAATCCTAATTTTGCATCAATCTCCAGCAGGTTAGCTACACATACACCATTTCAGGATATGAAAGACAGCAATTTGAGGGGGGGGGGAATTTGGACGATTGAAAAGGAGATGACTCTTCTTTCCAATGCTTTTCCCAACCTGTGCCCTCTCTATACCCCTTTATAATGCCTTGGTAAGGCCACACTTGGAATACTGCATCCAGTTTGGGTCAGCATAATGTAAAAAAGATGTTGAGAGTGCATAGAAGAGCAACAAAGATGATCAGAGTACTGGAAGCTAAAACATATAAAGAATTGGGTATGTCTAGTCTAACGAAGAGAAGGACCAGGGGTGACATGATGGCAGTCTTCCAATATCTCAGGGGTTGCCACAAAGAAGAGGAAGTCAAGCTATCTTCCAAAGCACCTGAGGGTAGGACAAGAAACAACGGATGGGAACTCATCAAGGAGAGAAGCAACCTGGAACTAAGGAGAAATTTCCTGACAGTTAGAACAGTTAATCAGTGGAACAACTTGCCTCCAGAAGTTGTGGGCGCTCTATCACTGGAGGTTTTTAAGAAGAGACTGGACAGCCATTTGTCTGAGGGTTTCTTGCTTGAGCAAGGGGTTGGACTAGAAGACCTCCAAGGTCCCTTCCAACTCTGTTATCCTATCCTATCCTAGCCTATCCTATCCTATCCTAGCCTATCATAGCCTATCCTATCCAAGCCTATCCTATCCTATCCTATCCTATCCTATCCTAGCCTATCCTATCCTAGCCTAGCCTAGCCTAGCCTAGCCTAGCCTACTCTACTCTACTCTACTCTACTCTACTCTACTCTACTCTACTCTACTCTACTCTACTCTACTCTACTCTACTCTACTCTAAACACAGTCAGGATCAACAAGTGAGAGCAGTTATATATTGGCAACTGAAAGCTAAATATAAAGTATACTTTAAATACCTTATTACAATAATATCATGTTTATTTATCTAACATTAATAAAACTAATACAATAAAACTATGGATAAAATATATGCCCTCTAACATTTATTAGAAAATAACTTGAGCAAAATATTGATTAAAAAAGGCTCTTTGATTTTTTTAAACCCGTTTTTTCTTACTATCATTGTAGCAGCAGGCTGTAAAATAACAGCAATGAAATATACTGCTCAAAAAAATAAAGGGAACACAAATGTATAGGATCCTATACGTTTGTGTTCCCTTTATTTTTTTGAGCAGTATATATCGCTCAGGCTTAAATTCCACTTGCCGGGCGTACTAAGAAAGGTCATAATTAAGCATATGTTTATGCTTAGTGATAATTACTCCACAAATTCGTCTCAGCATATAGAAACAACTTCAAATACTGGAATATTATATAGCCGATTTATTATTTTTCAACCTCAGCTAACGCCACAGCTGCTTTAAGTTAACTTCTAACTCTGAATTATTTAATTTGAGCTGCAATCTATTTGGATTCTTAATTAAAACGTAAGTGTGTCCTCTGGAAACAGATGTATATAACATCAAAAAGAGCAGGGACTTAATTAAATGAAAATGCTTTCCCCAAGTCTTCCAAGTGCAGAAATAGGGATGTGCCTTGTTGCATGCATAGGAATCCCAGATAACGAGGGACTGCCAAGAGTATTCAAAACAGTAGGGTGTCTGTATGTGTGTGTGTTGTTTGACTGCTTCTTTTTTTGTAATGCTAATTTCCATTAATGGGATCCATTTGTATGTAATTGTGCAATCCTGCCATCCCTAAATTTGCAAGGAAAGAAATGGAAGCAGTGGCAAGAACAGATAAGGGGCTTTAAGCATGTTCCCTATTTCCTTATGCAGAGGGAAACGGGAGGGAAATACTTATGTCTTAATACATCAAGGTGAGCCCCAAAGCTGGCTTTTTCCAAAAAGCAACTGGACTTTTTTTTGTGTGTGTGTGTTTTTCCTTGAAAACATTTTGTTTCTCATCTAAGAAGCTTCTTCAGTTTTGACAGTCAAAAAAAATAAAATAAATAAATGTCAAGAAAGTCCATGTCTTAGTTTTCTGAATGAATGGAAATGAGCCTCACAACTTTCCTTCTTTAGTAATTTAAGTGAAATAGGAATGATTTTCACAGGGTCCCATGTTGCTTCTGAGTTTGAGAGAGTGTAGACTTAAAAGGTTAAGCAGAAGAAACGTTTCATGAAT